CGGCGGGGGCGCCCGCTTCAGCGCCTTCTGGGCATGCGTGCTCTGGTTTCGAGCGGCGTATCGTCGCCGCGTCGCCTGATGATATCGCTCAGGTACTGGAAGAGACCAGGACGCTGGTCGCACAGGAGGAAAAGATCCCTATCTTTCCCTCTGAGCCGATAAGGCAGGCGGCTGGTATCGTGCTACCATCGTCCTATCCGCTGCGTGGTTGCCAGATCGTGGCACTACAGCCAGCAGCCCTGAGGACAGTTCGATCGGCACTGCTCTCGTGATCGGAGTGTCGATGCCGCAGATTCCCGCGCCGTTGGGCACACCACTTACCGAAGCAGTTGCTGTTCTTCGTCCTTCCGTCCCCCTCCGCCCTCCTCCACCCCCCCTTGCGTCTCATTGTCCCTGCCGGGTGTTCAAGAACATGCGCCCAGGAATACCGAGCACCTGAGCCCCTCGAGGGCTCGGACCGGCGGCCGACAAGTGCCCAAACAGGTTGGCGGCGCAAGAGAAACGGGTTCGACTGTTCGCGCGTAAGCTTCCCGCAGGGTCGCGCGTAAGCGCCCTCGTCTCCAATGTAACGTGACGCGACGCGTTGGCGGCCCGCGCAAGCCGCCGCGTAAGTCGCCATGGCATCGCGCGTAAGACCCAGTTTTGAGCGTCGTTCACACGGCCGCGGGCTCCGCAACGCGGTTGCGCAAGAGAATGGAGCGCGCCCGTCCTTGGTCGATGGTGAGGTGCAGCGCTGCCGAATCCCCCTGCGCTACCGTGAGATGTCTGTAGACGAAAAGAACTGCATGAACATAAACGTCCGAGGGCCCATGCGGAGTTTTTGGACACACCTCCCTGGCGCGCGGAGCGCGCGAGGCAGGCGCCGCCAGACGGGTTCATCCCAGATCCAGGAGATCTGCGTGGACCTCCAACAGCTTACGGTCGAGTTTGATCCGTAGGTCGACCCTGCCAAATCAAGGGTACCCTTCTGTCCTGTGCTTTGTGACGCATGTCTTCTACATTCCTACGGCAATGCGGCCCTCGGAAGGGTTTTTTGTCCTCTCGCGTGTCCTCTCCAATCAAGCTCGACTGTATATCTTTGTGTGTAGTTTGTTTTCTTGGAGTCCAGCGGAGCGGCCAGCGGGACGGTGACCTGCGAGGGTGTGCGAGGTGGCCCCAAGGGTATTTCGCCAGTGGTCGCCCCAGCTGAGGGTTCGTGACTCCACGGGGTGGTGGTCAGCTCGCTGGAAAATGTTGCGCTCGCCGCGAGTTTTTCGTTGATATTCTAAGCTGGAGGTGTTGGCGTAGACGGCAAGAGCAGATGGCGAGAGTGTCAAGGGATTGCTCTTGGGGTGGCACTGCAGTTTGAGAGGCAGGGCCCCGCCGCATTGAAAAAACCGCGCCTCGCACCAGGGTTTCTACCTCAGAAAGAGCGCGTTCTGTGATCGCTTGGAGGGGGGGGGGGGGGGAACCGGCCCTCCCCCCCCTCCCTCGCTCCTCCCCTTTTCCTCCACTTTCCCTCTCCTCTCCTCGGGTTGGCGCTGGCGTCTCCAATGCAGCGTGCCGCGGTGGCGGCCCGCGGAAATTGCCGCGTGAGGTCGTTGTGCCATCTCGCGTGAGACCTGTTTTTGATCGTCGCTCGTGCGGGCTTTGAGCCCCTCCGCCGGCCTTCTGATGGGCATTTCTGAGGCCTCCTGGGTGCCTTTTGGGCGTCTCTGGGGCCTCTCTGAGGTGATGGTGGTGGTGGGTTGTGGTGGTGGTGGTGGTGGTGGTGGCGGTGATGGTGGAGGTGGTGGTGGAGGTGGTGAGGTGGTTGTTGGTGGTGGTAGTGGTTTTTATGGTGGTTGATGTGGTGGCGGTGGTGGTGGTGCTGGTGCTGGTGCTGGTGCTGGTGTGGTGGTTTGTAGTGGTTTGTGGTGCTAGTTGTGGTGGTGGGTTGTGGTGGTGGTATTGGTGGCGTTGGTGGTGTGGTGGTTTGTCGTGGTGTTTGTGGTGGTGGTAGTGGTTGTGCCGCGAAGTGGTTTGTGGTGGGGGTGGTGGTGGTGGCGCTGGTGGTGGTTGTGGTATTGTGTTGTGGTGGTGGTGGTTGTGGTGGAAATGGTGCGGGTGGGGTGGTTTGTGGAGGTGGTGGTGGTGGTGGTGGTGGTGGTGGGTTGTGGTGGTGGTGGTGGCGGTCGTGGTGGTGGTTGTGGTGTGATGGTTTGTGGTGGTGGTTGTGGTGGTGGTGGTGCTGGTGGTGGTGGCAGGTTGTTGTGGGTGCGTCGTGGTGACGGCGGTGGTGGTGGTGGCGGTGGTGGTGGTGGTGTGGTGGTTTATGGTGGTGGTTGTGGTGGGTAGTGGTGGGTTGTTGTGGTGGTGGTGGCGGTTGTGGTGGTGGTGGTGTGCGGTGGTTTGTGGTGTTGGGGGATGGTTGTGGTGGTGGTGGGTTGTGGTGGTTGTGGTGGTGGTGGTGGCGGTGGTGATGGCGGTGGTGTGGTGGTTTGTGGTGGTGGCGGTGGCGTGGCTTTCGGGTCTTCCCGTCACCGTGTCTTGGTTTTGGGTTGTAGTTCCAATGGATGCCTCCTGGGGTCTCGTCAGAGGGTTCCCACGGGCGTTTGAGGAGCATGAGTGCGGGCTCCTGGGCGCCTCTTGGGCGTCTCTGGGAACTTCCTGAAGGCCTCCGGTGGCTTTTGGGAAGCAAAGGCTCGACGTGGCAATTTGTATTTTCCCGCGGCGGCTTTTGGGCTCTCTTTGGTCATCGTTGTTGCGGCTGCCGTTGGTGCTGCTGGCCGCCGCCAGCGCAGGCGCCAGAACCAGCACCGAGGAGAGAGTATATGGTGGGGAGGGGTCGACCCCCCCCTTCCCTGGGAAGCAGGAAGAGAAAACATTGGGAGAGTTAGAATCTCCTCTTCCTTTCCCGGGGGGGGGCGGGTTTGGACCACCCCCCCCTGGGAGGGGAGGGAGGGGGGGGTTCGTGAGGGGGGGGGTTAGGGGGGGAGGGGAGACCCCAGGTCCGAAACGCGCCGCCGAATGTTCCCAAGGCAATCGCCCCTGAAAAACGCCTCCTCGCACCGATCCGCCGCTGCCATGGTTAAGAGTGACACCTGTCCGCCCCATCCTAGTACAGGTGATTGTGTACTTTCGCGATATCGAGACCAGCCACAAAGGCCTGGGTGCGTTCATGATCGAGCAGGCGAAGTCGCTACTCTACATGAAGGCTTGAACCGCCCCGCCGACCCCCAAACGCTCAAAGTTCGGACCAGGTCATCGGACGGCTGTCTGCACCTGAAGAAGGTGATTACTGAAGAAGGTGATTGTGTGTAAGCGTACGCGTATGAATGCGTGGCCATCGCCAAACCACTCCTGTTTCTTTGAGCGACCAATCGAGAGCTAATCGACGTTGAATGCGAGTGCGCACCATACGTCCGTTCTGTAACCGTCGACGCTGGAAGCACTGGCAGTAATGGGGTAGCCGCGTGTCGCTCGTGTTCCCTGCTCCGATAGCCTGAGCGACCAGGCGGATCTTGTCGCTCTGTGCGCACACCGCTTCGAAAGGTCAGACGTCTCGTCGTCGTCGCATCGGGTCCACAGCAGCACTGCTATTCTTGCGCCAGCCTCGGCATTCGCACGCGCAGCGCTTCAAGCGGCAGCACTGTGGGAGGGGGTATCGATCGAGCAGCAGTAGCGCTGGCGCCTCTGCTAAGGGCTGCCACGGGCAGACTCGGCCACGGTCTTGCTTTCGGCGGCGTAGGTATTCATGGCGTGTTGGGGACGTGCACGTACCCCACTCCGTGTGGAATCGTTCGGCACAGGCCGTGCCCGTGATGGCAGAAGGCCAGATCTTGCGGAGGAGTTCGCACAGGTCTTTTTACAACCTAAACAAGGAGGGTAGAATGTATACAGGCTGAGAGCGAGTGCATCCATCCTTGTGTGCTCTTTCACAAGACCAGCAGGGTCTCCTTCGCAGTTGGTCCAGGTTGTCGAGGGAGTGGTCCGGAATTCTTGGCGCTTCGCGGATCACCAGCAGACCATCCAGAAACGAATCTTGGGTGCGTTGACGTGAGAAGGAACGTGGACGAGCTTGAGCGGAAAGGGAGGGGGGAGCACCAGACAAACCAAAGGAAGCGTCGGCCCAGGTAGGCCCTCGAGATAGCGCGGCTACGCTGATGTTTGGTCGCCCGTACCCGGCTCAGCCGGCGTGCTGCTGGGAGCCTTTGGGTCCCAAGGCCCTCTTTGGCAACCTCGGGCGATCGCGAAGCCCACAGGCCCACCAGGCAGGGGCCACGTCCGGGCCGTCTTGAATCAGGAGGAGAAAAAACACACAGGCACAATTAATCGTCGATTCCCAGGAAAGTATGGGAAAATATGGGAAGTGGGGGCGAAGACAAAAAACCAAGAACATATGAGGAAATATGGGGAATCATGTTATTCGTGTGTATCTATTTGTGTGGCCCAGGGCCCCTTCATTGAAGCCCGGGTGGAGCACCTTGGAGGCACGCTGGAGGCACGCCAGACCGGCCTGGGCAACCTCGCGCCGGCTTGGGCGCGATGCTGGGCGGCGTGGGCCGTCCTGGAGCCAGCCCAGGCGGCCTCCGACGCCCGAGCGTCTCGCGCCCCCGCGGAGGCGGGCAGTGCCCCCCCCCCCCCCCCCCCAGGGAAGGAGGTGGTGCTTTGAGGAGCTGGTGCTCTGAACCACCTGGACCGTGTTCCTGTACTGCTTGGGGCGCACTGGGCATTACAGCCCCCCCCCGCCCCGCCCCCCCCCGCCCCTGTGACGTAACGCCCCTCCCCCCCCCAGTGCGCTCCGGGCACTGCCGCCGCGCGCACGGCGGGGGGGAGGCGTTACATTATACCCCCCCTGGCCCCTCCCCCCCCGCCCGCCCCTCTGCTGCCCAGCATCGCCGAAGATAACGAAGCGCGCGCCTATGCCCTCAGGGCCGGTAGGAGCTCTCGGCCGCACTCCTCCGCGCGTGGGCCCCGGGGTCGGGAGCGGAGCGCCACGGGGATTGGCCAGCCTCTGCGTTGCGCGCTGCACGCCATCGATGTCGTTCTCTGTCAGGAGTGGTTCTGCCGTCTAAGTGCAGTGGAGGCCCATGCCAAGAGAAGCACCCTGCTTGCCTCCAGGGTGCCCTGGGTTTCTCAGGTCTCGATGGTTGTGCTGTGGAAAGTGTGACGTTCCCCCACCACAAATTCATGGACGTCCTGGGGTCTCAGGTTTGGGCTTCTTGTGGAAGGTTTCTTGTGGACTAGCCTCCACTGTAATGCCGATGTCATGCGGCGCCAGGCCAGCTCGATGGATGGGCTGGCATGCCATGTGCACCATGATGGTCAATTATTGTCTCTGAGCTACCAGAATGAAGCGCTTCGTTCCGACCCCTGAGTGGCTGCAGCAGCAGATCAGGAGAATGTAACATTCGTTTGTGTTCGATGCGCACAGCAGCACCTTACCTCTAGAATATGGCTTTGCTGCTGTAATTCACGCTTCAGGAGTGTCAGACGCCGCCTCCGTGAACCATCGAAGCTCTCGAAGGGTCCGAAGGGAGATTCTCGGCGGGTGCGCGAAGACTTCCCATACGGAATGCGATATGCCGGCTGGAATCCTGGATCTTTGTGGTGCAGTTCTGACGCTTGGAGTGGCCCTAGCAGAACCCCAGGCTCCAGGAAATGTCCAATGGAGGAGGAAAGCCAAACGTCTTCAACCACTCTGCGTTTCAGATCGACAGTCCTAGATGGACGGGCGCAGAGCCGCGGTGTGAGCAGATAAAACAGTAAAACAGAGCGATACACATACACACACCTATATATATATATATAGAGAGAGAGTAGGAGCTGTTGAGCATTGTATGCGCTTGGTGGTGACAACCATGGCGATGCACCGCATGGCTTCCCACATACATGCTCCGTGATTGGCGCTCTTGTTGAACCTCTGTCAAGCTGGGGTCGGCGGGCTCCCTCTTCTTATCGGGCAGGTCGACAACTTAATATCCTTGGTTTTTTCAGGCCCACTCTGGTCGCTTGTCTTCAGCTTCGTAGTGCAGCTCTACCTAACGGCAATCGTGGCATCCGACTGGTTGTTGCGGGCGTCGGCGGAGGAGTGGGACTCTCACGGCGAGGAGTGCCTGGTGGAATTGCAGGAAAACGGCCGGCTTGACGATAAGCGCGAGCTGGAGCTGCTCTACAAGAAGCGGGAGGCCTCGATGACGGCGATGTTGGAGCTCACGGGCAAGAAGCAGTCTGATTTGTTGGGGCATTGATGCTTGCGATGGGCTTCCGAGTCAAGCCACTGTTCCGCCACCCCAGGAGGATGAGGATGAGGAGGAGGAAGATGAGGAGGAGGGGGAGGAGGAGAGGGGAGGAGGAGGAGGAGGAGGAGGAGGAGGAGGAGGAGGAGGAGGAGGAGAAGGAGGTGGAATGGTCAAGGAGAAGGTTTAAGGAGGAGGAGGAGGAGGATGAGGAGGCGAAGGAGGAGGAGGAGGAGGATGTAGGGAGGCGGGGGAGGAAGAGGAGCATGATGGAGGAGGAGGAGGAGGAGGATAAGGAGGAGGAGCATGGTAGGGTGGAGGGTGGGGTGAGGTGAGGAGGGAGTTGTTGAGGGAGGAGGTAAGAGGAGGAGAGAAGGAGGTTTATGGATGTGAGGATGAGGAGGAGGGGGAGGGTTAGAGGGAGGGGGAGGGAGGAAGGGGGAAAAGGGGAGGGGGAGGGGGAGGGAGGAGGATGGGAGGAGGAGGAGAGGAGGAGGAGGAGGAAGGAGGAGGAGGAGAAAGGAGGAGGAGAAGGGGGAGGGGGGAGGGGAGGATGAGCAGGAGGAGGAGGAGGAGGAGGAGGAGAGGAGGAGGAGGAGGAGCAAGGAAGGAGGAGGAGGAGGAGGCGGAGGAGGAGGAGGAGGAGGAGGAGGAGGAAGGGGAGGAGAGGGGGATGAGGAGGGGGAGGAGGAGGAGGAGACCTCAGGCCTGCGATGTCCAGATCGGTTCGACGCGTGGTCCCCAGGGCTCTGTCGAACTCTTCTTCTTCTTCCAGGGACCACTGTGTTTTGCTCCGCCCAGTTTCTTGTCATTGTCTCGGAGGTCGCAAGCTGCTGACGGATGCCATGATATGAGGGAAAGGGATCGAGGCAGCTGCCGCCAGCTGCACAGCGCCAGCCGTGGAGGCGCTCCGAGCATACCCGCCCGCTGAGCCGGCAGAAGAGATCGGAGGCCCGAGGGTCGATGCACGATCGAAGGTGTTGTCGAAGGAGCATATGGAGGATCGAGGATCGAAGATCGAGATTTTTGTGCGTGCATGGGACGGAGGAGGAGGAGGAGGAGGAGGAGGAGGAGGGATAAGGAGGAGGGAGGAGGAGGAGGAGGAGGAGAGAAGAGAAGAGGAGGGAAGGAAGGAAAGAAGAGGAGGAGAAGGAGGAGAGGAGTAGGAGGAGGAGAAGAAAGGAGGAGGAGGAGGAAGAGGAGGAGAAGGAGGAGGAAGCACAGGAAGAGGAAGAAGGAGGAGGAAGGAGGAGGAGGGGAGGAGGAGCAGAGGGGAGGAGAGGAGGAGGAAGGAGGAGGAGGAGGAAGAGCAGGAGGAGGAGGAGCAGGAGAAGGAGGGGAGGCGTGTGGAGGAGCAGGAGAAGGAGGAGGAGCAGGAGGATGAGAGGAGGAGGAGGAGGAGGGAGGAGAGCGGGAGGAGGAGAGGAGTAGGAGGGGAAAGAGGAGAGGAGGAGAGAGGGATGAGGAAAAAAAAAAATAAAGAAAAAGGGAAGAGGATGCAGGAGTAGGAAGGAGAGGAGCAGGGAGGAGGAGGAGGAGTGAGGAGGAGGAGGAGGAGGAGGAGGAGGAGGAGTGGGGAGGAGGAGGAGGAGTAGGAAGGAGGAGGGGCAGGAGGCGGAGGAGGAGAGGAGAGGCGCAGGGAGGAGGAGGAGGAGAGGAGCAGGAGGAGGAGGAGGTGAGAGAGGAGCGATCTTTCGGTCATCCTGCCACCTGTGCATGCCCCCCCCCCCTCTCTCTTGCTCGGTGCGCATCTGCCTCGAGGCCCTTCTCCAGAGCTTCCAGGGCTCCCTCCAGAGCTTCCAGCTTTCCATCTCCGAGGATCGTGGATCGAAGATCAAGATGTTTGCGCGTCCATGGGCTCGCTTTTTGGCCGCCAGAGGCCTCGGGTGGCCTCGATCTTGGCCGAGAGTGCTCGCCTGCAGCCCCTGGGCGCGCAGCACGCAGGCGGAGTGCGTGGGTCTGTCGCCGAGCTGCAGCGAGAAGGTATCCAAGCCCCCGGCTGGAGCGCCCTCTCACGGCGGGATCCCACCAGCCCCGTTGTGTGACCAGCCTGTCAGCGCAATCGTCCCTCACGGGGTCTCGCACGCCTTTGGCCCGAGCGGGCTGGCGGAGCTGCTGTGCGTGCTCGTGCGATCCGCGGCGGGCTGCCCGGGCAGATCCGCACTCGCACTGCACGCGCACACGCGTGCATGAGATCACCCGCTGCATGAAATTATCTGAATTGACGGCGACCCTCGCCGTGGGTCTGGCCAGAACCCGATTACAGTGCATGTTGTTGGCGCGTCTCGCTATCGCCAAAGCGGTTCTCCTTAGGGAATACATGCGCCATGCAACGAGCAGAAAGCTCGTAGATGGCCGTGCACCCACTGGTATCGGGCGATGCCACTTTGCCTCGGTGTATACGCCATGGTCAGTTGCCCCAAATTTCGACTTCCTCCTCCTGCGTACCCCTCTGCCCCTCCTAAAGCTGAGCGCGCGCAACAGGCTTCGGAGGAGGAGGAGGAGGAGGAGGAGCGAGGGGAAGGAAAAGAGAAGCAGGAGAACGGAGACCTGCCCCTGAGCCTGCTTCAGACCTCTAGCATCCCCGAAAGCAATCATGACAGCTGGTACTCTCCCAGCTAAGCTTGCCTGGGGCTCCCCATGCTTGGCGAATGGCTCCCACAATACGGATACCTCCCGCCGGCTTCCCGTGCGTGCCCGCCAGTTTGCAGCGTACATCGCGTGGCCCGCGAAGTTACCAGGACGCCCACAGCCAGCGTGCCCGCGCGCTCCCAGCGCATGTCGCGTGGCCAGCGATCTCGTCGGGACGCTTGCTCGGAAGCTCTCTCCGAGCGTGCCCTCTTGCTCCCGGCAGCCATCGTGCTGCCAGTGCTGCTGCCAGGAGTCTGGCCGGGAAGCTCTCTCCGAGCGTGCCTGCTCATGTCGAGGGAGCACCCCGTGGCCAAGGGCGTTGCCGGGCTGCTTGCCAAGAAGCCCATTCCAGCGTGCCCTTTCGCTCCAACATCAGCTGGCCAGCGTGTTCTTTTTATCCGGAAGGTCGCTCCGAGCGTTCCCGCTCACGCCCAGCGGAGGAGGAGGAGGAGGAGGAGGAGGAGGAGGAGGAGGAGGAGCAGGAGGAGGAGGAGGAGGAGGAGGAGGAGGAGGAGTAAGAGGAGGAGAAGGAGGAGGAGGAGGAGGAGGAGGAGCTGCCCGTGCGCACACGCGCTCTGGGCGGACGGCCTCGCTCCCACTGCACGCCGCGTGGCCGGGAGGCGCCAGTCGGCCCCGGGACGCCTCCAGGACGCCCCAGAAGGCCTGAGCAGAGACCAAGAGGCGCTGGAAGGCGCCAGGAGGCACCAGGAGGCGCCGGGAAGCTTCGGGAGGCCCCGGGAGGGCCCAGGAGGCTCTGCGGGGCACCAACATGCACTGGGAGTCTCCAGGAGGCTCTTGGAGGCCCCGGTTGGACTCAGGAGGCAGCAGAGGGCACCAGGCAGCTCTAGGAGGCTCCAGGAGGCACCAGGAGATAGCAGAAAGCTTCGGGAAGATCAAGGATACGCCAGGAAATCTCGGGAGTGTCCAGGGGGCACTGGGAGACTGCATGAGGGACCAGGAGGCTTCAGGATGATCATCCCAAATGCTTTAATTCGGAAGTCCCAGGAGGCTACTCCAGGAGGCACTAAAGAGGCCCCAGGAAACTCCAGAACGCCCCAGGAGGCTATAGGAGCTCCAGGACGCTCCAGGATACGAGGCGACCCCGGGTCTCTCCAGGAAGCAGTCGGATGATCTAGTAAGTTCCAGGAGACGCCCAGGAAGTGCTAGGAGGCTCTAGGAGGCCCCAGTAGACTCCAGGAGACTTCAAGACGAGGATGATCAGGAGGAGGAGGAGGAGGAAGAGGAGGAGGACGACGAAGAGGAGGAGGAGGAGGAGGAGGAGGAGGAGTGGGAGGAGGAGGAGGGGGAGGATGAGGAGGAGGAGGTGGAGGAGGAAGAGGAGGAGGAGGATAATGAGGATGAGGAGTAGGAGGAAGACGGAGAGCGGGTGGAGGAGAGCGGCAGGAGGAAGATGGGAAAAGGAGGATGCGGAGGCGGACACGGTGCCGCATGGAGCCACCCTGGAGTCGCGCGCGGGCAGGCTTGGGAACCAACATGCCTGACAAAGAGCCGCTGCAAGGGGGCTGCTGGACTCTGGCTGAGAGCCCGTGCGCTCGCAGAGGGAGCACAACGAAGGACGGCCAACGTCAGCTGCGGCTCCTCTGGGAGTTAATTCTTCGTTCGGGCCGTTTGGCGATCCCGGTTCGGGCCCCAGGGCCTGCAGACGAGCAGACGAGCAGCACCCCCTCGAGCGACCCTACGCCCCACGCGTTGAAGAAGCCTGGGCGCCAGAGGTGCGTCGGCGCCGTCGTCGCCATCTTCGTCGCCTCTGTCTCCCTCGCCGTCTCCGCCGTCGCGGGTGGCTCCTCCGCAGCTGTTTGGCTCGAGCTCTTTTGGCGGCCCCGGGAGGCCCGTTCCCCCCCCCCCCCCGCGGCTGGAGAGGCGGCGTCCCCGCCCCGCGCCCCGCTGCCCGCCTCATAAGCATGAGCGTCGCAGCCAGCGGCAGCAGCAGCGCGGGCATCATCCAGGCCGAGCCTCCCTACATCGCTCCGCTCGGCCACGCCGGCGCCGACCCCGTGCTCCTCGGCGAGGCGGCGGTGCCCGCGATGCCGGCGGCGCCGGCGATGCCGGAGCTCCGCGTGCGGAACACCTTCCTGGAGTTCAACAGGCCGCCGCGGAGCTTAAGCGGGGAGCCCGAGGGGAGGCGGGTCTCGAGGGGTCCTCCGCCGTCCCTGGGCCCTCGGGAGGCCCTCCGCGGGCCCCCGGGGCTGCCTGGAGGCGGCTCGGGAGGCAGAGCTGGTCCCGGGGTTGGGCCCCAGGGTCCGGGGCCCAGTGCCCTGGGCGGCCCCCGTCGGCCGAGCCTCCGTGGGGTCAGCTCCGGGCTCTTCTGCGGGCATCCTGCGAAGTGTTTGTGGGGCGGCCTCGGCGCCTCCTGTGGGGCATCCCTGGGCCCTCGTGGGGACACACCCCGGCGTGCCGGCGTGGGCTGGCCGGGCGAGTCCCTGGGGGCCTCTTGGGACCCGCCTGCCCCACGCCACCACAGGGAGCTCTGGATGCTGAGCGAGGACGCGCCGCATCCCCGCAGGGCCAGCTCCCACCCACCCCTCGGCTGCGACTCGGCGCCCGGCTGCGGCCTGGCGCGCGGCTCCGCGGGAAGCTCCCGGGGAGCCTCGCCGCGGTCGCAGTGCGGCGAGGACCAGCACCACTCGGCCAAACGCGGAGGCGGGGTAGGGGGAGAGGGGAAGGCGTCTTAGGAGGATCGGGGCGATCGAAATGGGTACGGAAAGAATGGGCACAAAGAACGACAGCATCCCCTGCGCATTGTGAGCAGGACTCGCTGTCGGTGTCGCCGCGGACGTTGTCCCTCTGAGGCAGAAGGCCGCCTGTCCAACAGCGCCCGCTGTTGGGTTTGGACAGCAGCTGTTGTTAGTGCCGCGAATCAAACCAACCATGCTTCGATCGAACAAAGCCAAAAGCACTGCATTGGAAGAAGGAAGAAAAGCACCATAAATATAAACTTGTTGCGCCGGGGCGCCTCTGGCGGTGCCCCCGGCGCGTCCCCTGGCGTGCTCCGCGCGCCAGGGAGGGGGGCCCAGCGCAGATCCAAGGAACCCGCGCGGAGCGCCAAAAAGTTTATGCTTATGCCGTTGTTTCCTTCGTCTTACCAAAAGCACTGCTAAGCGTGGGGCGCTCCGCGCGGATTCCTTGGATCTGCGCTGGGCCCTCCGTGGCGCCGCCTCCGGCGCCGCCCCCAGCGCGCGCCCCGCGCGGCGGCCCCCTCCGGGGGCGACGCGCGCGCCCTATAGAGCTCTGACAGCGCAGGCTCGTCGGCGC